TTTACATACGTGCATATTAACTTACAGTTTTCTAAATTATATAATAAACCTTGGTTTGATTAAGTTGTTAAGTACAAAACAAGTGCGTTTGACTTTCTCCTTGCATCTACATCACTAAAAACAAGGTCAAGCAGGAACTCGTACAATTCTTCCCATAGCGTTCGAGGATATCCAAAAAAGTCAGTTTTGATATTCACCATGAAGGCCACTCTTTTCGAAAATGTCAACGTCATTATTTCGTACGATTCTGTCAACGAGTATTTGTTGATCATGGTTAGAACATTGCATCTGGATTCAGCATAGAAATTTTTGAAATATAGCATTGCACATTTTTATGCACATTTTCTCCTTTTTTAGCGCAAACTGTGCTAACGTCATGAAAATGGGCTTTATGTCTCTTGAAATGGTCCACGTTGTCGAGGTACCACTTATTCTTTTCCTTCTCTCCGTCAGCATGGTTATAACCTGTGGACACATATTTATGCGTGAGATTAATGCAAATCAGTATTTATCAAGGGGTCAAATTTCACAATCTGTTAGATTAAAAAATTGAATTTTTGGTTTCTTCATGTTATCATGGTTCAAACCTTATGGGACTTTGGCTTGTGTAAGCAAGCAGTAACCAAATAGTCACAAATATGAAAATGCATACCTTTTGTCCAGGGTTATTAAACAATGTGCAAAATTATTCACTAAAGTTTTCTCTCTTAATGCTTTGCAGATCATGTAAATTCGTAAATTTAGTAACTTTACTATTCCAAATCTTGTCGAGAATTAGAGTAGAACTGGAACTTAAATACTTCATTTGAGAGGAATAGTTTACCGTCGCACATGGGTTGGAAAAAGTATTGAAGATTAAATTTTAGTTTAGTTGAGTGATATTTCAGTAGGAAACAAGTTATTCTACTCAACTGGGTTACATATATGAATACTGAATTCTGTACGTATATAATTTGTAGGATGGCATGAAATTGTCTGTACATTTATTAAACATATAAATATTGAAGAGATAAGAAAAACAAATTGTACGGCCAGTTAAGCCAAATACACTGCGACCGGTAAAACAAGGACACCTAACATTTTTTCCAATTTCTTAAAGGCCCTTCGGAATGTATAGCTGTTTCTTTCGCCATTAAGTACTACGGTTCCTAGTAGTCTTGTCGCAAAATTTCGTTAAAATTGGTGCAGAGGTGTTGAAATTATTTAAGAATATGTCAAAATCAGGTGGCCAGTAAAACAAGGACACCCCACAATAAATTATTTGTTTTTGACGGACTTAATTAGAATTTGATTCAACTTGTTAAGAAATTAAATTGTCAGTATATTTGGGATATTTTGGTCAATATATGACGTAAATTAACTCTTTTGTTCTGTCGATTTCACATAGTGAGGGGCAAATTCCCGTACTTGTGGCAGAGGGGCAGGGTAGAAGCTCAATGTGCTTTACGGCGGAGTATTTCCAAAACGAACAATCACCTAAGTGTCCGCCGACCCACCGTAACAAGTTTTAAGGTCAAGGGGGACACTTTCGGTAGAACAAGGAAGCGAGGACGCACGCCTAAAACGATACAAATGTAAAAATTCAACATTCTCCGTCGCTCTAGCAACCCCTGTGTAACGATTATCCAGATTTAAGCGGAGTTCCAGCTTCCTATTACAACATCTGATACTAATCAAGTCATGTCTGCTTGCCCCAACCTGAGAAAGAGGAAAATCAAGACGAAACCGGTGCGTCCCCAGAAGCAAAAAGATGCTCAATTTCAATGGCCGAAAGAACGAATGACGTGGACTTCGAAGAGGGATCACACCGTTTTTAACGACGAGAAAAGACTCACATAACCCTTTTCTCTCAGTGTATGTGGGCAAGTGAACATCTCCAAAAAATAACGAATTATTCATTAAGAGTTGTTATTCTGTGACTGGAAAACTATTTATAAGGACTGGCTTCATGCATGCATATTAAACTATTCAAACAACCTTTATTAAACTAGTAATATTTTAAATAAACCGTTACAACGCATGTAACCAAGGGGTGAAAGATGTGTTTCATACGCTTAAACCAATATCATATTATTTTTGCCCTTTCAAAATTTTTTACACGGTCACTGAAGGGTCGCTGGTCAAAATGATCAGTGTTCACTATTCCATACTCAAAATCTGTTAAATTGATACACATGTAACGTGTTTTTGACATTTGTGGCAATTTAACATTTATTAACCGTTTTGTGACCTTTGAGGTCAAAATTGAAGGAGGTCACCATTGAATTCTGGGTTAAATTTCAGTTAAAATTGACATATTCGTATGTGCAATTTGAGTCCTACGTGACCTTTTGGTGACCTTTTGACCTTGACAGGTGTGACCTACAGTGCCCATCTTCGATTTTGACCTTTGCTTTTATATGAAGTATTTATGTTCCAAATTTCAAGTTAATATGTCAAACCGTTCCTGAGTTATCGCGCGGACAGACAGACGGACAGACGGGTGGACGGACGGACATATCAATTTTATAAAGAGGTTTGACCCCTTAATAAAACAGAAATATAAACTCTGAAAATTTACACCTTATCAAGCTTTGCTTCAATTTTCTCGCTTCTTGTTTCGAGCTTCTTTTTAATTCCACAAAACCTTATTTTGAACACTAGCGGAACTATAAATTTGGGGCCGGTAGGCACAGGTTCGCTGGGGGCCCCTGTCCCTGACAGATTTGACGAGACTTAGGAAATAGGAAAATTTTGTGGTTTTTTTGGCAACCATAAATTTGATTCAGTGGAAAGTAATTGTTTGCTGTCTGGTTAAACGACAAGGGCTTAATTAAAATATCGTTTCAATAATATCACGATTTCAACAATTGAATGTCGAACTGGCAGATTACACTCACAATGAGAAGAGTCAAGCAGTCTCGCTCCAATTTTGACGAAACTTTGCTAATTAGGGAACCCTGGGTAAATAATTAAACACGTGTTTCAGGATTTTTCATAATGCTCAATTGACGGAATCAATAAGCGAGAATTTCCGTTTTTATCCCGAATTTTGTCTCGCGAGGGACCAAAATACAGATTCTCGCTTAGCTTACGCTTAGAGTCCATCATAAATAAGTGGACATGAATCGTTTTTTCCGGTTTTAAATTTACTCGCACACTGAAACTAGTGTTCTTTAGCCCTTTCATAAAGGCGTGTGTTTTCTGAATTTTTAATACATTTTCAGTCAAAATTAGGATTTCTCATAACGTTATAAATTTTGCAGTGTTGATGCTATTTTAAACGCGAAAGAACATACAAATGATTCCATAAAACTTGTATTCGATAAAATCGTGATGCTTCCAAGAACTCAAAATTACTTTTATAAAAGTGTGGAAATTTTCTAAAAACTTTTAAAGTCACAGACAAGAAATTTTGAAAAATTAAAATTTTTAGCAAGTACAGATTTAGCATAAATTAATGTAATTCTACACTCTAAATAAAAATGAGTAAAATTTACCCAAGGTTGGGTAAAAAAGAGGATGACACAACTAGAAGGTAAAATTTGTCCAACATTGTGCAAAATTTATCCAAAGTTGTGTAAAATTTGCTTAATGTTGGGTAAATTTTACCTTTTAGTTGTGGCATCCTCTTTTTTGCCCAACCTTGAGTAAATTTTACTCATTTTTATTTAGAGTGTACAAAAACGTTCTTCCAGTTTTGAAATCGGATAAAAATTAGAAAATTTACATTTTGAAAATTCCACGCAATTTAAAATTAAGCGAAATTATGATGGATTACATAAGCGAGAATCTGTATTTTTCTGGCGAGAGAGAAAAATATTACGACAAACATGAAAAATCTCACGCTTAGATTCTGTCATAATTCGTTTAAACTGAGCACTATGAAAAATCCTGCAACATGCCTTTAATTATTTATCAAAGGTTGCCTAATTATCATTGTTTCTTCAAAATCGGAGCGAGGCCCCTGGCGTCATTGCATTGGGTTTCAGTTTTTGCAGTTGCTTTACGACAAATTGAGTTACATGACCAAAGTAAATTTATCATTGTTAAGTCAACTATAATCAACGCCAAGGTCATCCTGATATGATTTGTGTCATTTCCTCGTCTTACCGGGTTCAATTTGCTACATTTAAAATATTTAAAACTATTGATAAAGTTCGGAGATGCGCGCAAAGCCTGTTGAAAAATAATTAGCCAATGTCATAGTGGTGACTCCTATCTCAGCATTTTTAAACTGAAAATTATAAAATAAAATTTGGCAGAATTTCTTAACATAATTTGAACTAGTTTAGATTTTTTAATGACCTCCTGGAACGCTTACCCCTAGCTTCTCAACTGTTCGACATGTAAAAAATTTAAAAAAATTCGGGCCAGCTACGGGCCCCCACTCCGTGGGGCCCCTAGGCGATGCCTACCCTGCCTACCCCTAGTTTCGCTAGTGATTTTGAAGTATCATGATCACATGTTTGTCTTTAAGTAAGATAACTTGTTTAATTCTACTTCTTAACTTAACCTTCGACCTGGGAGGAGGATAAAATCGGGATCAAACCAGCAATTATTTAACCTAAATAACCAAATAATTTAAAATAATTAGTAACCTAAGCAATTTTTTCTAAATCTGCTCATACAGCTCTTCGTATGACAGAAGACGCACATGGAAAATTATTTCCCCATTTTTATAAACAAAATATTTGTATCTATAACCATTATTGTGGAATTTTTATTTGCGACTCGCAAATTGCGAGTGAGAGTTTTGAGGTGAATCCCACAGGAAGTGTTTGATCGTAAAATTACTTTATCAGATCACAAATCTGCTTAGGTAAATGTACCTGGTTTGGTATAAGGTTGATGGATGTTCAGATATGAACTAACAAGGCGATGGTGTGAAGTGTAACCCTCCGATTAGGTTGAAATTTCGTATGGGTTTTACTTATACAATTGTCATAAATTTTTACATACATATTTTCATAATTATTTGTAGGGAAACCCCAATTCAATTGAATGGGGATGAGATAAAAATGGTCTGTTTTGTCAATGATAATCATCCATTGGAATATGAACGGGAAAAATCGAACAATCGTAATGAATTTCTAAAAGAGTTAGCTAGATTTTGGGAGTCACTGCTTCCAGAAAATTTCGCTACTTCTCATACATCGAACGTAAGTTGCCTAATATACATACATACATATATTACAAGATTTACTTTGTTAGTATCAATGCGAGACAAGTGAAAATTTTTGCTCGATTAACCATCCTTACTATTTAGATTATGCTTATATTACTTCCAGCTTATTTAATTTTTTTGGAATTTACTAGTACTGATTTACAAAAATTAATTATTTATTCAAAATGCCACACTATATGCATACATAATTATCCAAAATTTTCACAGCAGCCCTCAGCGTTGGACTCTTTTGATCAAATATTGTTTGGTCAGCCCCCCTTCGAACTGAATAATTCCATCGCGATTGTCGGCATGGCATGTAAATACCCTGGTGCCAACACGATTAGCGAGTTCTGGGATTTGCTAGAGAACGGCACGGACTGCATTGTTCGCGTCCCTGAATGGCGCTGGACCAAGGAAAACTCGTACATAGTGATGGACGACGTTCGAAAAACTGAGGCTGGTTTTCTTTCCTGCCCGATTGACTTGTTTGATGCTAAATTCTTCAATACGAATCAAGCTGATTTGGCATATCTCGACCCACAACAGCGTATTGCACTGAAAGTAGTTTGGGAAGCTCTTGAGCATGCAAGAATTGACCCGGCAACCCTGAGAAACTCATTAACTGGTGTATTTGGAGGGTATGAATATCTTTACTATTTACATGGGGGGTGGGGTACTCATTGCGAGTTCGCATGTTCATATCAGAGCACAATTCACAAAAATTGTAAACTAAATAATAGTGTTGGAGATGTGCAAGTGAATTTTTCAGCCAGAATTTTTGCAATTTTTTTTACGATTGTAACGATGTGAATTCGTGATGAATACCCCCATTATACAAGTAATTACTTTACCCATAAATGAATGAAAAATTAATTACTAAACTAGTTTTTGGAGAGACGACTACAAGCTGATGTTGCAACATCAAGGATTTGCTGGCACAGATTTTCTCCGAGGTTACATGGGAAACGCGTTGGGGCCCTTGACGGCCAGAATCGCCCACTTCTTTGAGTTGATTGGTCCATGCTTTTCAACAGAAAGTGGCTGCTCGACCTCCATTGCGGGGGTCGATATGGCCTGCGAAGCCTTGAGGTAAGCCAACAAAATATTTTTGAATGAATAGGGTACTTTAACTCCTATAAATTATTTTCAAGATAATTGCTTTCTTTTAAGCTAATTTTTGTATTTTAAAATTTTGTCTTTAAGGAATGATCGAGCAGATATGTGTATCGCTGTGGGAATTAATCTGTTCCTTTATCCATTCTCACTGATTGGCGGACTTATTGAAGGAGTCCTTGCACCAGACGGTCGTTGCAAAACGTTTGACGCATCTGCAAATGGATTTGGCCGTGCTGAGGGTGCCGCTTCACTTATTCTTAAACGATATTCCGATGCAGTAGCTCACGGTGACCGAATTTGGGGTCTAATTCGTGGAACAGCGGTTGTACAAGAAGGCATGTCGAAAAATATGGGGACACCAACTGTCGATGTAGAGGCTACAGCAATGGCACTTGCCCTACAGCGGTCAGCTGTAGACCCAGAGGATGTGGATTTTTTAGAAGCGCACGGGACGGGCACTGAGGTTGGCGACCCGATCGAGGTCGCAGCAATCTCAAGGGTTTATGGAGGCAGAAAATCAGATAATCCACTTACAATTGCATCCGTCAAGACTCAAATTGGCCACACTGAATCTGTGTGTGGGATTGCAAGTATTCAGAAAACCCTGCTCTCAATGAAACATGAAAAAATACCAAAACGTCTACATCTAAAAGTTCTAAATCCTGACATTGATTTGAGCAAAATCCCTGCGAGAATTCCAACCGAAATAACCCCATGGCTAAAAAGAATTAGTAAACCACGGATTGCTGGAGTTAATTCATTCGGGATAACTGGAGCTCAAGCTCACGTGATAATTCAGGAACCGCCTGAACCAAGCCCAACCAAGCCAATTACCCTTACTGATAATCGAAGTATGAAAATCTTAACATTTTCGGGGAAAACCGAAAAAGCTATTCAAGCTCAGCTAGAAGCATATCGCAATCTGCTGCAAACTACAGATGCCGATTTGGGAGACGTCGAATACACAATGCACACGGGTCGGTCGCATTTTGCTTTTAGACAAGTAGCACTTGGTAGCACGTCGGAGGAAGTCTTGACCTCGATTGAAAATATAAAATCCTTCAACTCGATTCCAAACGTTGCTCCAAAAATCTGCTTCCTCTTTACCGGGCAAGGGTCTCAGTACCCAGGAATGTGCAAAGCTTTATATGATGACAGCGTCGTCTTTCGATCAAACTTTGACAAATTGGATTCAATTTTACAAAAAGAACACAGCATTAAAATTAAAGAAACACTTTGGAATTCAAATTTTGAAACCAGTTCCATACATTCAACTTTATTCAGTCAAACGTCAATATTTTGCGTCGAAATCTGTATCCTTCGCCTCTGGGAATCGTGGGGTGTAAAACCTGATGCTGTCTTGGGCCACAGTTTAGGCGAGTTCGCAGCATTAGTTGCGGCTGGAATGATGTGCGTCCAGGACGCTTTAAAGCTTGTGGTCACACGATCGAAGCTAATCGACGAATTACCACGTGGCGGTATGCTTGTTGTAGGATCGGAGATCGAACAAGTACTAAAAGCTTTAGATCAGGCAGGACTCGGGAAAGGAAATCCAAACGGCTTGGAGATTGCTGCTGTAAATTCGGTCACCCAGACTGTCGTTGCTGGAGACCTCGACCTAGTAGAGCAATTTAAAATGTTTTGCGATAATAATGGCCTTAGAACTCACATGCTGGACTCGACCCATGCTTTCCACTCAAGGCACATGGATCCCATTCTGGAGGAGTATGGACGAGTTGCAGCAGATATGAAATTTAAAGAATCCAACTCCAATGTCGTATTCGTATCAGCGGTAGAAGGTAAAATCATCAAAAGAATTGACGTCAACTATCTCATAAACCATACGAGAGAACACGTGAAATTCATGGAGGCGTCGCATGCCGTGGTAAAATATGGGCTTGGACTATTCGTTGAAAATGGAGCACAACCAATTTTATCATCTCTTTTAGCCTCAAATTCAGACGAGGTTAGTGATTTAGACTAGTTTCCGCCTTGCTTTCTGAACCAACTACATATCTAGTAAATAAATAATTCTGGGTTGTAGATTTCGGACAACATAATTCTGCTGCCATCGGTACGAAGGAACGAATCTAATTGGATCACCATTCTTGACTCGATGGGGAAGCTGCATAAGGAAGGAATTCCAATAAAATGGGAGAATTTCCATCGTTTCACATCCGCAACCAAAATTGACCTACCGGGTTATGTTTTCGACGAGTCTCCGCATTGGATAAAGATTAAGGATGACGGAACCGTTCCTTTTCATCGACTGCTTGGCTCGTACATTCCAAACGCCTCTGACGTCACTATCTTTCAATCAAGTGTTAATGTGAATCGCGTCCAGTTCTTGCGGGATCACCGACTTGGCGAAAAGATAATATTCCCATGTGCTGGCTACCTCGACATGTGCTTGACTGCTGGATACGCAGCGTTGCAGTGCGACGAGGGAAAGTACAGAAAACCAACCACATCTCTTGCCATTCAAAATTTTTCCATAGCATCCCCAATATGCATGAGTGAGATGCATAGTACAGAGTTCCAGGTATGTATGTATCTAGGTCTTAATTAGACTAATATTTGCGCTTCCTAATTACTGCAAACACGAAAATGTATTTAAAATATTTTCAATGCCGATTTTTAGGTTGTTGTATCAAAAACTCTCGAAGGGGAAACAACAGCAAAAGTGAACTCGCGTTTATTTTTGGAACCATCAAAATATAAATGGATTAACAATGCGAGAGCCACATTCGTCATAAATTCCACCTCCCCCGAAAATCATTTAACCAATTTCCAAGGACTGAAATCCAGAATATGTGAACCTATCAATGAGTCATTCGACTACGAAAAATTAAAAGAGTATGGATTTAATTTTGGCCCATCTATGCACACCATTTGCAATCAGAGCTGGAAAAATCCGGAAGCTGACTCTGGCGAATATATTTTTTCCTTCAAGTGTAACGAAACTGTTGAAGATCTGGATAAATTCATCCTCCACCCTTGGGTAATTGATGCCACGTTCCAAGCACAACTTCTGGGAATGACAATGCGTAGAGATAAATATATGATCAAGGGTCAATTGATCGTGCCTATTCAGATAGAAAAATTGATCTGGTGGGGAGGCTCTTGCTCATCTGGATACATATATTCGAAACACTCGGATGGCTGTAACGAAGCCCACATTTATAGCGAAGAGGGAATCTTAATAGCAACTGTGCTCGGAACGGAATTTATGGAGACGACCCTCAATAATATAATGGCTATGATCGACTCCCAAAAAAATCCCTTACCAAGCATTACAGAATATGTTTGGAAAGAACATCTTGGAACGAGGGAAAGAAGAGTTGTCGTCGATGGGGAAGATGCAAAGTTACAAAATCTTGTAGGACCTGTCGAACCGGTGCATTTAACACCTGATGAGGCAACTGTCTATAATAACTATGCTAAGCACGGTGGACTTTGCATGATTAAAGCCATGAAAGAACTTGGACTCGATCAGTATCAACAATTTATGTGGCCGGAAATAGCGCAAACGTTGAAAGTGTCTCAAAATTTGCACAAGTTTTTGCGCTATATTCTTTTGGAGCTAGTGACGGACGGTTATCTGGTTCTGGACCCCGATCAAAATCGTAACGCATCGCTCCTTCAGTTTTCGTTATCGCCAACTCTACCCTTCCCTACTTTGGAGAAAATTTGTTCAGATATTTCCACTTCGACTGATACCTGCCAGACTGTAAATTATACGTGGACCAGCACAATGTCTGAACTGTGCAAGTTTTGGGCCGTATTATCAGACATCCTAACTGGAAGGCAGCAAGCATTACAATTACTTTTTGAAAGTAATTCCAACCTACCAGACGAAAGATGTTTGGCCGATATGTTTTATGCAAATTCATTTTTTAAACATACAACTGACAACCTTGTTAGCATTGGATCACGTATTCTACAACGCTTTCCATCAATGGGTGTAAAACCCGTGGCTCGAATTTTAGAGGTTGGAGCAGGTGTTGGTGGATGCACAGAATTAGCAATTGTTGGAATGAAGAATGGTGGTGTCTCGAGCTATGAATACACATACACCGATCTGTCCCCAGTTTTCTTACAGAGAGGGGCAACCATTTTTCAAGACACAGGGATCTCAACAAAATTTGAAATTCTAGACATTGAAAAGGATCCTCTGCAACAAGGATTTGTTCCACAGTATTACGATGCCGTACATATTGGTTTTGTTTTGCATGCAACCAAAAACATTGAGGAATCATTACTCAACGTAAAAACCTTGCTTCGACCGGGGGGATACGTTTTTCTTTTTGAGCTAGTGGGTCAGTCGAGGGACGTCAATCTGACGTTTGGAGGCTTGGAAGGGTTTTGGAGGTTTGAAGATATCCATTTACGACCCTGGAATTGCGAATTAGATGAATCCGGATGGCGTACATTATTACAAAAGCATGGCTTTGTAGACTGTACAATAGTATCTTCACCGCATGGAGGATGTGAAATCATCGCTCAGCTAAGCCTAAATAATGAACCTCATGACCAACAATTGTCACTGATGCCAAAGCCAATAACACGTCGTCAATGGCTCCTGTTTGGTGGACAAGATTCAATAACAAAAGGCCTAAAACATAAATTTGAACTAAACGGATTCCATGCAAGAATTATATTGCCAGAAGACATCAGTTCCACTGGTCATGAAATGGAGGAGGACGTAGTTAAGTTATTTTCCTCGTCTACTTCTGTCATTAGCGGGATTATTTACATGTCGTCGTACTAATTCATAAAAGACCTAAGTGCAGGCGATGCTAAATTCAGAAAAGACCTAAGTGCAGTCGGTGTTTAATTCAGAAACGACCGAAGTGCAGTCGATTCTCAGTTCAGAAAAGACCTGAGTGCACAGAAAAAAAGTAAAAAAGATCTATGTGCAAGTATGTATTTACTTATGGCTAAATCGCGCGATATATATGAAAAATCATTTTGGCAAGATTTAGCCATATGTAAATACATACTTGCATATAGGTCTTTTTTTACTTTTTTTCTGTGCACTTAGGTCTTTTCTGAATTGAGCATCGACTGCACTTTGGTCGTTTCTGAATTAAACACCGACTGCACTTAGGTCTTTTCTGAATTTAGCATCGCCTGCACTTAGGTCTTTTATGAATTAGTACGACGATGTGGGGTTTGGATCCTACTGTTACCATAAAAAAGACGTGTGAACCGTTCCTTTACATATGCAAACAACTCCAAAAACTTCCAACAAACTTTCAGGCACTCGTAGTAACGAATGGGTGTATGAATGTGGGCCCAACAGATTATCACCAAAATATTCCAACGGCCTCACCAATTATTGAAATGCTTCAAGTTTTAGCAAATGAGAACATGGATATAAAGTGCAAATCATTGGATATTGATGATGGAGAGTTTGCGGTGGACGAAATTTTTTCAGAAGTTTTCAGCGGGAATATCGATACATTAGTTGCCTATAGAAATAGCAAGAGGTATACTCCACGCCTTAAGAAAGTGAATGTAAAAAAATTTCCGCTTGACGTTCCTCCCACGCCTAATACTCGCCTCATTGCGCCCCCGACCAACTTAATTTCAGATTTGTACTTCGCACCCTTTGAGACCCTGCAACTAACCGAAGGACAGGTTGAGGTTGAAATTAGGGCATATGCGCTTAACTTCTTAGACGTACTTATGGCTACAAAACCTGACCCAGTCTTTACAACGTACAACACTTTAGGAATGGATATTACCGGGGTTGTGACAGCACTTGGACCCAAATGCAGTGAACGAAAAATTGGGGATCGTGTTATTGTGATCCGGCGTTCCGGAGACTCGCTACCCAGTCGTATCGCATCCACCGAGGAACTTACGATACCCATTTCATCAGATATGACTTTTAATGATGCAGCAACACTACCAATTGCATCACTAACAGTCTACTATTCCTTAGTACATCTGGCCAATGCACGAAAAGAAGACGTTATTCTTATTCATACAGCGTCTGGCGGAGTTGGACTTGTTGCTATTCAAGTTGCCAAGCAGATTGGCTGCACAATAATCGTCACAGCAGGAAACCTCCGGAAGAGGAACTATTTAAAAAGCTTAGGCTTGAAGTATATATTCAATTCAAGGTCGACAAAATATGAGCATGACATTAGGCAAGCCCTTGGGGGAAATATGGTAACTATAGTTCTAAATTCAATAACAGGAGAAGGATTTAAAGAGGCTACATTATCTGTCTGCCGAGAAGGTGCAAAGTTTGTTGAAATGAGCAAAATGAATATTTGGAGTAAGAAGGAGGTTCATCTGATAAGACCGGATGTGATCTACAACAATATTGATATATCAATTCTGCCAGAAGATGAATTAAAAATGTTGAATAAAGAACTACATACTCTTATGCAGGGAGGATTTAAGGACGGTAATAAACGTCCTACGCCGCTTCCCTACACTTCATTTGAATCAAAACATATTAGAAATGCGTAGGAATATGTGGAGAAGGGAAAGCATATTGGAAAAGTGGTCATAACAATGCCGGAGTTGGATAAAGCAAGTAATCAATACAAGTATAGATTATTCAACAAGGAAGCCACCTATCTTGTAACAGGTGGGCTTGGAGGAATTGGACTTGAAGTTGCAAAATGGATGAGTGAGGTTGGTGCGAAGAACATACTTCTAGTCGGTCGCAGCGCCCCAAAATTAGAAGCTCTTCGAACAATTGAGCTTTTGAAACAAAAGGGTGTTTCAGTCAATTTCAGACAAGTGGACATTGGAAATTTTCATGAAGTGAAGAATCTTTTTAACGAATTTGTTCCGGAAAATGGGATGTACCACATCAGAGGAATTATGCATGCTGCAGGAGTTTTAGAGGATGGAACATTGGAAAACCAAAATTGGGATAAGTTCGAAAAAGTATTCAGATCAAAAATACAAGGAGGGTGGAATCTCCACAAAATTAGCGCTGAACTGGAATTTCCATTGGAACACTTTGTTGTGTTTTCGTCAATGGCTACTACCTTTGGTGCTGCCGGACAAAGTAATTATGCAGCTGCAAATTATTATCTCGATGCTTTGGTTCACTACAGACACAGCCTTGGATTGCCAGGACTAACAATAAATTGGGGACAGTGGGGACAGGTCGGACTGGCAGCAAATATATCCAATTCTGTTTACAAACCATTTACAGTACAGCAGGGTATTTCAGCTTTGGAGTATGCTATGAAAAGCCATAAATCTCACTTACAAGTTTTTGAGGCAGACCTTGGTACCATTAAAAAGATCGTTCCATCAACACGAGGCCTTCTTGCGGATATTGAGATGACTACTTGCCTAGATATTGGAAATATTGATGAAGAAGAATTTTGGAGGGAATATGACTCATGTACAGGAAGAGACCAGAAACTTGATGTACTCAAGAAATGTGTTACTAGTGTTATCCGAGGGACACTCAAATTGAGTAAAGATGAGCTCATCGACGAGAACACCAGTTTTCAAGATTTGGGTTTTGATTCTTTGATGATGGTTGAGATGAAGAACAGTCTACAAGCCTCAATAGGGAAAAATGTAAAAATATCGCTGCATGCGGTGAAAGATTGCAAATCAATTGTGGAATTGTCAAATCGACTGGTGGAGTTAATATCTGGGGAAGACGATCTTGTAGACTTAACAACAAGCGAGCTTCTTGAACTTGCCGAGGAAGATGCACACCTTCCTGACGATATTCAAGTGGATGAACTCGTTATCAATACGTTAAGACCTGTAAGCAGAATATCCACTGTTCTGATAACTGGGTCAACAGGAAATCTAGGACCTTATATACTTAAGGAGCTTCGAGAAAATTACCCATTCATTGAAAAAATTTATTGCTTAATGCGCCCGAATTCTTTTCTATCCCATGAAGCTAGATTCAATCGTATTATGCAAGGAAAGAACTTATTTGGGTTTGGTCAGACTCAACTTGACGGATGGGTAGAGGCAGTACCTGGAGACGCAGGGAAGGACATGATGGGGTTAAATGAAACAACGTATACCAAACTTTGTGAAGAAGTTGATGCAGTTATTAATTTAGCCGTGAAAGATTCATACCAGGAAAAGTACTATGCCTCGAAAAATATTGCTAGTTGCCGAATTATTAATATTCAAGGATTCAAAAATGTTTTGGAGTTTGCTGTATCGAAAAAGCTCAAACATGTTTTCTACTCCTCGACAATAGGAGCCCAGACAGATCTTGGAAAAGATGGATTGTACTCTGAGACTTGGTCCACGCTCGATGAAATTCAACATATTCCGAATTCTGCATACCTAATCTCCAAACGGATTTGTGAAGTCTTGGCAAGTCAAGCTATTGAAAGGGGCATTCCTTGTAAGGTTTTCCGAATATCAAACATAGGTGGCGATAGTGAAGTTGGTGGCAATATCCAATTGTACAATTTTTTGATGATTCGATTCTTGGCATATATGTATCTCGGATTTATGCCTGCACATAATGTGCCTCTTTGCATGTTGCCTGTTGATTTGTGTGCAGAATTTTCAATGAAATTATTTTTCAATGAGTAGGCTCCAAGTGGCTTGTACAATGTACTTAAACTAGACTTAGGTAAGTTGCATAATAATCTACAATTGTTGTTTCTATTTACATGCGTATTAAAAATATTAATTTGTCAATCAAATTAAACAGGTGACGAACGTGAATTTGACGAAATTGCATTGGAATTTGGCGTAACTGTTGAGGTGCTGGATACCGACGAATTTTTTGCTCGTTTAAAATCCATGGACGAAAGTGATCCCATGCATGAATTCATCAAACAAATTTTAGAATACAAGACGAATGTGGATAAAGTTGAAGACAGACCCCCTGAGTTCTATCTCGCATGGCTTCAAGGCACGAAAAATATTACATGGAGTAAGAAATTGGCCCAGTTTATACCAGAAGTTTACCCGTCGAAGATAATGTCATCTTGGGATGTGCTCAAGAAAGATTTAGCAACGGCAAAACTGAATGGAATCTTTGACCGATACCGAATTCGGTACTCCAGTTGCACATAAATTGCTTGGTACGTTTAACGTCACTAAATAGATTAAATATTTACGCGGTATCCATGCAAGCTAAACTGCTCATACATACAAATATAGGTACGCATATTATATTAATTGTAAATTTACCAATATTATGTAGCATTATCTATTGTAATAGATAATGTACTCTACATATGTACAATATAGCATATCAGGTTATCTTCTCAGTCCAATTGCCCGATACAATTGATATGTGCACATCGAAGTGAAAAGCTAAGTATAAGATGGAAACAATTCAGTAAGTAATAACGAAAGAAGCGCAGTTTCACAGTTTTTTTCATAGCATGCTATGAAAAAAACTCTGTGAAACTGCGCTTCCTGCAGGAAGATGTCAGGTATATGAGATAGTTATGTTTAGTGCATTCCAAAAATAATACGAAATGTATTTAAACTAACTGATTAAATAAATAAATCCAAATATTTACATTCAGAAAAAAATTGATTGATAGCAATAAAATTTCATGTTTTCATTAAAATTTCATTTCATGATAACATCAAATCTATAATAATATTTTACTATCTAACATGTCCTAATGGTAATAAGGACAAACCAATATATCGATGGCAGAATACGGGCAAAAACAAATTTAGACAAAAAATTCCCTAAAGACACTTCTATAGTGGGGATTTTTAATTAATTTGAATTCCTTCAATACTTGAGTGTTGTAACTTTATACAATTCGACGTAAAATATATCAGTTTCACAAACGCTGGTTCTAGGTTTCAGTTATTTGAAACCAGAAATTTTAAACGCTGATAAAGTGCAGTACGAGAACTTTAACATAATGCGCCAATTCGCATGTTCCACACCCGATATAGTATTTAGTTATTCGAGGAATTCCACCTAGTATTTAGAAAATACGCAATACAGTTTATCGTATCATGAGGTATTAATTCAACGCTAATTTTCAAATTTGCTGTAGTCGCAAATATTAAGATGTATCGTTGGGGAATGCATATGCTTAGATAGAATAAATTATTGTCCTATTCCATTGCTGATCTCATGACGTTATCGCTTTGTATAATTTTGAGAATGCTTTTGGATGGGTTCGAAATTAAAGAGAGAAGTTCCAATTTCCATCATAATGACTTGAGAGGAGGCAGTAAGACTTGCAAGGGAGTTAAAATTTAACAGGTGAATGAATAGTCTGCAGCAGATGGCAAGAAATAATACGAAAATATGCTGCATGAAAATATATAAATTTTCCACATTAGACTGAGCACAATAAATACAATGAGCATAATTGCCTATGCCTAACGACAAATGTTGGGAGGCATGTGCGATGTATCGTGGCGGGGAGTGGGTGGGAATGGAGTTAAAATATTTTCAACTTGGCCACACGGCAGACCTGACAAGGACGGTGTTTGCACATAGATTTCCAGTGGGACTCGCTGCGAAAAATTCAAGACGAACATGCAATTTTTTAGGAGGGTCATTTCCATTGATGACTGAAGAATATATATCAGAATATATGTCAGATATTGATATTTCATGGGTCATTTCAACATAATTAATTCGCACTTGAAGGATTGTGAGACTTGGTTTCTAAATGGATCTCAAGGGCTTCAATGTAATTATTAGTGAGTGTTTTATTTAGATATTTACAAGAATGTATAAACATTTTATTTTATTTCCAATCAATCGTTGTATTTCGTTGTTTACATATTCAGATGATGTTGGATGTCGCGAGTCCAAGTAAGAAGCGGAAGTCGACCTTGGAGGATTAAAAAATGTAATTTACCTTGAATTTATGCTTTGTATACATACATATGTAAGTTCTTACTAAATTTCCACGCTTTAATGACCAGTACGAATATATGTAGGCAGCAGTAAATACGTATGTATGTATGACAGATATTGAAAATTGTTATCCTTACAAGGATCATCTCAAAATACAGCAACTTTGGAAGAAACAATTTGAATCTAAATAGGCTAATACATAAATGTGGGACTCGATGACTCATTGTCAAAATCAGCACATTTTTAATCATTTCTAGGCCCTGGGGAATTTATTTTAAACTTCTAAACATAGGACATATTATATATTAACTTATGTTAATTAAGATTTCTAAATTAATAAAACTTGATTGAATAAAATTTTTATATACAATCAGTTAAAAAGTGCGTTTGACTTTCTCCTTGCATCTACATCACTAAAACCAAGGTCAAGCAGGAACTCGTACAATTCTTCCCATAGCGTTCGAGGATATCCAAAAAAGTCAGTTATGATATTCACCATGGAGGCCACTCTTTTCGAAAATGTCAACCCCCTAATTTGGTACGGTTCTGCCAACGAGTATTTCTTGATCAAGGTCAGAACATTGTATCTGGATTCAGCATAACAATTTTTAAAATAACATTGCATATTTTTATGCACATTTTCGCCTTTTTTAGCGCAAACGGTGGTAACGTCATGAAAATGGGCTTTGTGTCTCCTGAAATGGTCCACATTGTCGACGTACCACTTATTCTTTTCCTTCTCCCCATCAGCATGGGTTATAACCTGTGGACACAAATTATGTTTGAGATTAATGCAAAGGAATATTTATCAGAGTCCTACTTCAAAGTTTATACATAATTTCATACATTTAAAAATGCATTTTTTTGTTTTGAATTCCTTTTACCATGGCTCAAACTTATATCGTTGTGACTTTTGTAAGAAGTAGCCAAATATTTACGAATGCAAAAACAATTTTGAAATTATGTGCGTACTCATGACATCTTATTTAGCATCGCAACTTTTTGAGCAAATTTACGAAGCTCACAAATTTGTATCGTAAAAGGAACGGGATTCGCAAAATCTGACTTCATCACAAATCTACTTATAAAATCACATATTTTGATGTTTTTTCCATGGATTTCTGTAATTCCTCTTGCTGAAGGCGAGGATGAGTTTGTTCTGCGAAATTTTGTGAAATTAAAACATTCCCATTTTCTGGGAAAATTTGTGAAAAAATCCCAATGCTTCACAGAAAAGCTTTGCAAAATTTAGCAAAATTTCATCCTACGCTAAATTTGCGAGATTGACGTGAGTACGCTCTATGATATAAAAAAACGTTGAAGAAACCCATTTTTTAGGGGCCTCTATCTATATGTGTATTGTAGTAAATTTACTTCATTTTCAAATTACCAAAAACACCGGAACCTTTTTTTCCGTCATAATGTTGACAAAAAGTTCATAATTTGTCTTCAAGCTTTCAGTGATTCTTCCCTTCTTCATTACAAGGATTAACAGATTGATCCCAGGACTGGATTTTAGCACAGTTATTAATTCGAGGAGTTTCCCAACGGCATCTTTCGTGCTGACGGTTCCTCCCTCTGGCTCACCGAGACCCACAGTGTCGAAAATATTGTAATTGAGAAAGCTGTACTTTTGGTGCTCAAAAGTGCATCCGACAGCTTTGTCGGATGTCTCAGCTATCTGCTTATCCACGATCATGTTTATGAGAGAACTCTTTCCAACACCTGCAAAATATTGTTAACGGAAAAACTAATTATAATTATATTATTTAGGAAATTTAATGTCAGATTTTTTGAAAAATGACCCTATGAAGAAATATGTATGCAATTGTGCAGTGATGAATTTCATAGTTTGATTTGATCCATGTTAGTATTATTTACAGATTATCAGGCATCAAGTTTGATTGATGCATGCACCTGATTGTCATGTTGAGTGACTAAATTAAACCTTTGCCCTTCACTATGCACATTTATTTAGCTTTGCAGATTTAATGTTACACTTGGTACAAAATGAGCCAAAAGTGCAAGTCTTTTTCGCATCGATTTCACCAAATTGCACATAAAAAATTACAAATTCAGTTTTGGGTGGGGGGATTAATATAGCATAGCTGTTTTTGAATTATATTCAACCACACCCCCTTCAAAAATTGGGGAAGAAAATTGGGAAAAATGAGAAGGTCAATGTACACTCGGTACAGAAAGAAGTAGATACCAACTTGCATTTGACATTTGACTTCCCTCATGAATATGAACATTTTGATGCATCAAGACTTTCAAAATTCGAAAATTGGCGGTTTTTCGACCTACATATAAATCGTTAAAAAAGTGACCTTAGCGGTCATTTCGCGGCTGACAACCTGATGCCAGATTTTTCTTCGTCAGAAGTGCCACATTTTCCGCTTTTGTTGTCCGCTGCGAAATGACCGCTACCATGACTTTTTTGGGGTCAAAGTTTCTGAGGGAGGGGCTTATACGGCAGGAGCCGTAACAATGTATAGGTATTTATGATATACATAAAGGTAACTACATAGAAGCTATTAAAACAGCCTCAAATCGCCCCAAATTTAAAACTTAAGCTTTTCTGAATTTATAATGATGATATGCATTCGAAAATTAACGCTATGAGGCTTATCAACGAAGTTATCAATTTTTCAGATAAGCAAATTTAGTTTATCCAAATCGCCCCAAACTTAAAACTTAAGCTTTTCTGAATTTATAATGATGATATGCATTCGAAAATTAACGCTATCGGGCTTATCACTGCGCTTATCAGTTTTTAAGATAAGCAAATTTAGTTTGTCCAAATCTCCCCAAATTTAAAACTTAAGCTTATCTGAATATATAATGGTAGTATCCACTCGAAAATAAACGCTATCGGGCTTATCACTGCGCTTATCAGTTTTTAAGATAAGCAAATTTAGTTTGTCCAATTCGCCCCAAATTTAAAACTTAAGCTCAACGATTTATCAACTGAACCAACTCGTGTAAGAGATGAAAAGCATCTCAACACGAGTTGGTTCATAATCCCGGTAAACAATTTGAAGAGAGTGAGAAGTGAGACGGACCACCATACGGCACTGGCAACGACAGTCAGCGGTGGTGGTGGATACCCACCAGAATCCGAGTCTCACTCTGCCTTTCGCTAAATAATGGAAACTGCGTTTGTGAAACGGTTGGGCTGGTTCAGCTCACTTACATATGTAAATATACTGTATCAATGCATTATATAATAAATACTCTACTTATTTGGAACGATCATTACAAGTTCACATTCGAAATTTTGAGAAAAATGCGAACTAAATACTGACCTTGTAGATGCGCAAATTCGCAATAAATTTTCAAGACGAAATAAGTTAAATATATTAGAATTTATCATTTACGTGCATATGTTTGTATTTATTTGCTCACCTGTTTCGCCAAATACGATAACATTTTTTTCCTGGTCGTTTCTTAACAATTTTAAAGCATCTTGGGTTTTTTCCTACAAAAATGAAGACAGAATTATTTCATCCTGCTTTTTGATAATTTAAAGAACAACATAACTATCCAATTATTTTTCATTTCCTGGTATGAATTTGCTCTTTACCAATCTATTTGTACATAAAGTAGGTTATGCATTTTTGTTAAAATATTTATGTACATATACGAAAAAGTTAACATATTTGTGCTGTCTGATTTTCTGGACTCATCACAAACTTATTACCTCAAACCCCTCCGAGGGGCAGAAATCTAGGTCAGGAGTGACTGGAAGAGGGGGTTTTGGTTGATAAAGATATGCCACATACAAAACGACTCCCGCTATTACAATTACCTCTGCAGGAAATCATACATAATTAGAAATGGATTTCAGTAATTTCAGGAAAAATTATAAAGCTAAGCTTTCTTACCAAATTTTCCCATGTTTTAGGTGGCTCGGCGTCTTAACTAAATTTCAGATTACGGCTTGATAACTTGAGTTTAATGAGTTTATAATGTATTATCTTATCCGGATAGTGTCCAAATATTTCAGAGTGAAGCGAACCTCAGTCAGTGGAGGTTCAAATACATAAATACGTTTTGCAATTATAGAGATGATGTGACGAAAAGTGCTCATGGGATTTGAGCAGGGTTACAAGTGATATATATCACTGAGTGAGATTTAGTGAGATTTAATGATTTATATCATTTATCTCAGTTGGGGCTGAGTGAGAAATATGAGAAATAATGAGATAAACTTGTAGTTCATAACCTCGTCCGCTAGGTGGCGCTAGTGCATGGCTCATAAATCTCACTATTTCTCATATTTCTCATGTCTCACTATTTCTCACTATATCTCAGTGAGATGAGATTTATGAAGGTGAGATGAGATTTCTGCAACCCTGGATTTGAGTTGAACTTTAACGAACAATGCACTTTTTTCCATGCTGACTGAATTGAAAACAAGATATGTAATACATATCGATGCTAAAACGTTGCAAAGTTAATTATTTTGAGATTAGTTTTACAAAAGGCGTTAGGACATGGTTTTGACGAATTCGCGGTTGAATATCTCTGGCGGGGAGTTGAATTTTGAACTGATTTTTGGTCAGTTGCAAGATAATACTCTCAAAAAGATATATTTAAAATTTTGGGCCGATAGCTTTATAAATGCCCCCTCCAGTGCCCCCAGAGTTTGAAGGAGCCAAAAAAACACTTTCCAAACTGAATTACTCATATAGCATGATAACCTAAGAGGTCAGAGGTGAATGATTGTGAATATTACAACCCTTGATAATCATTGCATGTAATAATAAAAGAATCCACAATGAATTACATAACGTTGGGCCTCCATCGTCGCTGATACGTTTTCATGAAAAGTGATCAATCGGACCGTGCACAGGAAAATTGACCTGCTGACCTTTAAAGCGGACCCACTAGGTCAAATGAAGATTGAGGGCAAAGCTCTAAGTGTCTCAAGTAATATTAAATTAAACAGTGAAGATTTTGTGTAAACAGTTTTGGAGAAGGACCCTAGCTACTCAGCTGACGGGGAATAGTAAAAAAACTCGTGAACTAATTTAGGAAAATAATGGTCAAATTTTGTTGAAAACAAATTTTAATAACTTTTTTGTGTTCCCTGCTGCAGAACTATTTTACCTACAAGGTACAAGTGACAAAATAATAAAATTACTGCGTTTTGATTAGTTAAAAAAATTTAAAGTTCCGCTTCAATTTCGAGGAGAACTTTTGTAAAAATTTTATAGGGTTTGATGGAAACTCATTTCCTGGGGTGTAACCACTTATCAAAATTTTATCAAAAGTACTTACAATGCAACATACAATTTCTACCTTGGATAAAAACCACGTTAGGGATTTTTAGCATCAAAGTCCTAAAATGTGGGGGCCTTTAAAGTCGAGGAGTTGCGTTCAAGAGAGCATTCCATTAAGACAAGTATGAAGCTAGACTACAAAAGGGACTTAAAAGATAAGCATGATACAAAAGTGGTTTTATATAGTGAAAAGCATGCTAAGTCCACTGATAATAGTCGCAAAGACGATTTTTGCACCAGGACCTCAGAAAAAAATATTTTGTTCAACGCCATTTTATAAGAACACTGGTTTGGAAAACTAAAAAAGGACACCTCTCCAAATTTGACGTTTCCTCATTTCGCAGAGTACATAAAATCGGAAGCCAGATATGCTTACCTATAGTTTGAGACATGGGCTTTCACATAAAAAATGTTAGAAATCTCTACAACTAAAAACCATCCCGCAATTAAGGTATGAATTCGTCAAAACCATGTCCTAACGCCTTTTGTACTACTGATTGTCGACCACATCATGCAACCCGGTTGTATGTACATACATAATTATGTTTACACTGAATACGTAATATTTTTCAGTTTATATAGTAAAAGTTTAATGGCAGTAAAAGTTTACTGTATAAAGCTTAATGGACTGATTACATATACGTAAGTATATTAGTGTGTACATCTATGTACCTCAGCACAAACGCGATACGGAAGATAAGCAATTTTTATGCGACTAAATAAATTCGTTTTGTGAAGTTGAGCGAACGAACAACAAGTTTTGATTAAACAACAATTATAACATAACATAACACTTGCAACTTGCTTGGTCGTGTGTATTTAAGTATATTAAATTATATGAACGTATAGATATTTCAATTACATTAAGGACGACACATCACGAACTGATCATCAAGCATAGATTTTGATACCCATTCAGCATTACCATGGAGGAGTCGCATAAAAACCAAAAGGAAGCTAACCCCAACCCGGTCACACTCCCTGAAAATTCGGGCCAAACATTGGCCCGAAATATCCATACGGAAAAGAAAAATGAAAAAGATGAGCCGAACGTAAAGAAGCAAATATTTATGTCAATCTTGGCTGCATTAGTTGGGTTCGTTATTTACTGGAATTTTCTGGAATGTGAACTGGTTCCAGCGGTGGTAAGTAACGTTTCTTTGTTGCAAATCTGTGAAAATTTTGAGTAAGTGATTTTAGAATTAAATTTTAGAAAAGGAAAACAGTTGAATGGAACGGATCAGTCAAGAAGATACTCATAATTGGAGACGATGGTCTGTATTTAGCTTAACTTAACATTAATTATTAATTTGCTTTGTGTTTATTAATAAAACTAGAGCCAATTCACGCAGTCCTTAGTAACTTCATAAAATCTGTATAACCATAAACTTCCAAACTTTTAGAAATATTTGTAAGGAAAATTAGCTTACAATTTTTGTAAGCTTACTCAGATTGAGGGCGTCTTTTTATTTTGTAAAAGCGTGTAAAATTACCTACTTCACAAAATTTACGGATTTTATAAAGTTACCAAGGACTTAATGAATTGCCTCTCTAATGCATTTTAACTTAATTAATTAGGTGTCGGGAAAAGCTCCGTTGCAAACATGATTTCCAATGATGGGATCACAATCCCAAGTACCGCGTCAGAATTGCCTCTCGCCTTATCATACGAAGAGCATGGAGCAGAAAGTTATAAATTTTACGAGTTCGCCGGCCTTACTCAGAAACGGTTCGGAACGTGCGACATGAAGCAGACAATATCCAATTTGGTCGAAATTATAGAATTTCTAGAACACGGATCGGGCTTACATCTTATGATTTTTGTTATGAGAATTGGCCGCATTACGGACACTTTTGTCAAGAATTACAAACTTTTTGTGGAACTGCTTACACGAAATGAAATTCCTATAATTTTGGTAAGATTATTTTCGCATGGTTAAATACAATTAGAAATTTAAATTGTATCTGTTTTTCGGTTAGGTGTTGACGGACGCGGACCGTGTCAACGATCCGAACGAATGGTTGAGAAATAATTTGGACGCTTTTAGAAAATATGGCTTATCATTTGACGACATCGTTCTGGTATGTGCGTCAAGAGGTGAAGATCTTCTCCCAGACTTTGCTGAGAGAGTGGTCAAAATTTATGACGAGTCGAAAGAAAGGTTAATTCAGAGCGTGGAGAAATATATTGGGAAAGAAGTATGGGTTCTGAAAAATAGTCAGGACGAGATGAAATTTCGGTATGAAGCGATAATTTGGACCTACTCAAATTTAGATTTCGTTGGAAATGAGCTGAAAATTAGAATGTTTATGGGGTGGATATTGAGATGGGAGATTTATAAGGTAGCGAATGAATTTGTGAGAAATATGATTGTCTATTTAAGTGTTCATTAGTTAAATTGGACGTGTGATTCAGTTGGAACCTAAATGGCAAGTTAAATGGTTGGCTTGCAAATATGTACGTATATGTACTTATGTATATACATACATAGTTGTATTATACTTTGAGGTGCAAATTTGATTAACTGTGATAGATAATTTTGTATTTAACGTGCCACAATTAATTATGGATATGTACATATGTTCACACTATATATGTACCTATGTATTTATATATACGTGTACTTATATACATCTGTATTTCTTTATGTACTTACTGACATAAATGGGTACCTAGGTATGTGCATAGCGAACTTTGTTAACTATCCGACAATTTTTTTTTACAAATGTGCACATTTATCCCTGTGTGTATATAAATAATCTTGTCAATGCACAAAGGAATCATATTTATATGTAGATGCTAGACAAATTCATATAGATACATATGTATATATGTATGCATCTTGTCCTTACGTAAATTTGTAAATGCTTACATACATACATAAATATATAAATATAACATTTACAAAATTGTGTGCAACTACCATTGAAAATCAAGCTCCAACATTAATACATATTTCAATCTGCTTAAGTACCAAATGCAAAGGAAAACAAGCTAACTGAAAACTTCAAACGTTAGATTGACTCATAGGCAAGGGGACGAATACCCGGACTTTGCTTAACAAACATGTAATAGTGCTGTTTAACCTTTAAAAATAAATATTCCTGAAATGTTTTTTCAATCGTTTTGTCCGCTTTTTCTCCATGCCACAAATAATTTCTGAGCAACAGCTCAACCCTGACAATAAGAACCCAACTGATAAGAAGAGCCAGAGAGGTAAATAATTTCTCAGTGTTATAGGTTCAGCCCCGTTCGAAAATTTTAAGCTTATGGAGTTTATGCTGTCCTTAATTTCTTCTAGGATTCTCATTTCCTTTTTGGTCTTACTATCCATTCCGTCATCCTTCGCATCGTCACTTTCGTCCTCATAATCTGCTTCTTTTTGTGATTCCTGTTTTTCAAAAAATCCAGAAATGAAGGCTTGCAAGATTCCTTCACCCCGAATTCGGTCGATAATTTCCTGTTGGGCCCTGTTATAATAAGGGCACAAATTGAATTTACCGTGACCAAGTTAAAAAATATATATCGTACTAAAAATAAATATATGGAGTGAACTTTTGTAGTGCGAAGGTTTGAGCATTTTTAGTGAGAATTCAAATTTTACTCGAAATTATGTTAGAATATTTAAATCGGTGTCAGTAAGGGTATTAAATAACCAGAATCCTATTTAACTCACCGGAAATGGTCAGCCATACCGGAACTAGAAATTGTACGTAACGTGTCCACCAGTCCGCTTGACACCTCGGAGTACTTTACCGCCCAAAAAATGTCGTTAACAAGCCCGTCCCTCCCTACCTTGTACCCTTGCAGGCCATACTTTCTCTTCAAAATTTTAAACGTCATCTCCAGATAGTCCGCTTCCTCTAAGAAATTGATCTTACATTTTAAAATATCATTAATGTCGTCCACTCTTTTGAGAATGTATCTTTGTAACAAATTTTTAAAAATTGCGGGATTTTGACTTTTCTCTAATTCCGCTTCTAGAGCTGTGACAACATTCATTTTTTGTCCTCTCTTCCTGTCAAAGGAATAAATCCCTTTCGGATCGGCGCTTAATTCTTGGAACGTTTCCGGACTTAGCGTTGCCGTCGGTTGCATCAATTCCAGGATTAAATTAGTCTTGAACGCGGTCGAAATGAGAATACAGTAAAATAAATATGTCGCATAAATGAAGCGGAGATTGTCCTTCATCCCTAAAATTATAGCCGTTTGCTTGTTCGTGATGCACTGATCGATTTGGGCACGCATTAAAAATTCTGCGACTCGAAGGTGCCCAACGGATCTTGTTAAAAAGCCAGATCTCTGACGATATTCAAATATGCAAATTGTCAGGCATCCTAACATAATGGCACTCACGATGGAAACGTGCCACCCGATGGGACGAACCAGGGCGAGAAAAAGGGCAGCAATATCGTAACGTCGAACAGCACCGAATTTCACGACAAATTTTTCCCCAGAGTGGATGAGTTCGTAATTCGTTGAAAGTCTGTACAGTTTTTGGGGCAGGGTGTACACGGCAAAATCGACATCCCAGAGGTCACGATTTGGTGAGAGCTGGTTTCTGAAGCACTTTGAAATGGTAAGATTATGCTTGTCTACTAAAACTTTGAGGAGCATGAGGTGACGATTTTTGGTAAAAAGTATCCTTAAGGCGGGTTGGTCGTACCATTTGTACTGGTCGAGGAGGATACTTTGCATGCGGGAAATAGTGTTGTCAAAGGCGGAGGGTTCGATGCGGCTGGGGATAATATCTTTTGGGATGAGGAGACACCTTCTGGCGGGATTTATGATGGTGAATTTTAAATTACGATCTATGAGATTCCTAGACATTAATTGTGTCCCTTGAAGATAATCCTTTAGTTGAGAAGGGGATAGACGGATGCCGATTCCTATTGTTGCGGGAGATTTGATGTTTGATTTGGATGAGAGACTAAAGTTAGCGTGGGTTTGTAGTATGATAAGAGGAGTAAGAGGATTGTACCGGCAGAATTTTATGTTCGTATTGCAAACTAATGAGCTAAACGGTATTTGCGGTTGGAAGTTAATTGTCGATAGTTCGGCTATAATGCAATCTCGAAGTACAAGTAGTAAACTAAACGTCAGTAAGTGGGACATGATCTGTCGGTCTGGGTGGTGTTAACCGTTGGTGTTAATTAAGTATTTAGAATGGACAAAGCTTTACGAGCACGTGAAATGCCGCGACTACATAGTATAACAAACGGTAGCTTTATGAAGGTCAGAATTGTTTCCAAAATCTGTAATTTATTGTGGGCCAGACATAACGATTGTGGTTGATTATAAGAGAGTTTTGATCACAATCGCCCCTGGGGTGGCTGGTACAATAAATATGTACCTGGTAAAATTATCATGTTAAGGGTAGAACGGCACCCCCCTTAAATCACATGTTCCATGAACGGCCTTCATAGCGAGGCACATAGATAATTTATTGATGCACTTGTGAATGTATGTATATGCAGATATGTTAGCAGAAAACCTAACCATGCATCACGCAGATGTAATCTCGTGTCTCGTTTCTTGAACAAAAATGTTGCAACAGACAGAGAAAGTAATTTATGGTATGTGAAAATATCGCACAGTTGCATGTATTTCGAAATGTTTTCGGTCATATACTTGTATTTGCTAAATTGTAAAAGTTTGCTGAATATGTGACACTTAATCAGTTGCATATGTACTTATGTATGATTATCTTAGGACATCATGTTATTTAAACTACGACATTAAATAAATGTATGGGGAAATATGTGTTGTCGCAATAAATCAAGCCGTTTTTTTAGGTATTGTTACAAAGTTTTAACTTTTCATACGATATATCATTATGTGAAAACATTTAATTGGTCTTAAGATATAATGAGGGTACTCGTTGCGAGATACAATTTTTGCATCGCAATTTGCGATGCAAAATTCCTGCTGGCCTTGCCAAAATCGGTGGTTGTCTAATTACAATTACATAGTAGGTCCTTCCCGGAGTTGAAGTCACCCTGGGACGTCATATTAGTGCCGGGTTGCCTAATTGTCGACAATAATGTACTTCAGAACTATTCGCAAAATATTTGATATTTGTTTGAAACTCTTCCAATTTTTTAATAGAGAATGGAGAAAAAATATAAAATTCAAATAAAAAATAATTGCGAACTTGGGAAAATTGATTTTTTTTCTAAATTCTAGCGTTGACAATGGGCGTACTGACAACAACTTCTTATTTCGCATCGCAACTGATTTAGCAAACTTGCGAAGATCAAAATATTTCTGTCGTGAGGGGATTCGCAAAATATGACTTCGTAAATCTCTCTAATCTCGTAAATCTACTGAAAAATACCAATTTTGGCATTGTTTCCATGGATTTCTTTAATTTCTCTTGCTGGCGATGGTGAGGATGAGTTTGCGAAGTAATTTTGCGAAATAAGAACATGCCCAATTGCTGGGTAAATTTGCGAAAATAAATCCCATGGTTTTCCAGCAAAATTTTTGCGAAATCTCGCATATGTCGCAAAACCTCGCAAGTTATGTTGCTATGCTCAATTTGCGAGATATGCGAAGGTTGACGTGAGTACGCTCACGAACTCATCGTAAATACCCAAATGAATTGAATATTAATCTATGTATTTATACCTATCTGTACTTATGTAAGTGTTGGGTGAAAATGAGTAAAATATTTTGTTCAATTCGCCCACTTTCTCTTTGAAATATAAATGGTTTCTACGCAACACGTCAATGCTGACAGAACTGATCCAACTGACAAAAATAGCCAGAGGGGAAGGTAATTTTTCAGCGTTATTGGTTCAGCTCCATTGGAGAATGTCAAACTTAATGATTTTATATTATCCTTAATTTCTGCCAGAATTTTCATGTCATTCTTGGTTTGACGGTCAAGTCCTTCATCATTTTCATCATTTTCCTCGTCCTCATCACCATAATCCTCTTGTTCATGCTTTCTCGCAAAAAATCCAGAAACTAATCCCTGCACAAGTTTCTCACCCCGTACACGGTCGACAATCAGTTGATGTTCCCTGGAAAAAAATGCAAAAGTCATGACAAATATTCTAAATTGTTAAGACTTTGTTAAGACATGGTAACAAAATTGTTACCGATACCACCTTGATAGAGATTTGTTTTTGAAAACTAACATTTCCAATCACGTAAAAACTAATTTCTCGCCGTAAATAAGCGATAAATTTTGAATTTCGTGATTGATTATGACCGTTCGGTAACAAATATTTGTCAACTATGAATCCGCACACTATGAGCAATTTTGTTTTACAATTACGCCAACTAACCGGAAATGATTACCAATCCCAGAACTGATTATGATCCGTAATGTTTCCCTTATTCCGGTTGACACCTCAGAATGCTTGACAGCCCAAAAGACATCGTTGACTATGCTTTCCGTCCCAATTTTATATCCCCGTAATCCATATTTCTGTTCCAATATCTCAAACATAATTTTCAACAGTTCCCCTTCATCCATGATGTTCACTTTCCCCGAAAGAACGTGATCAATATCTGGTGCAGTTCTTCGATTATATTTTTTCAACAGTTTTTGATACACCGATTTCTCCGGATATCTCGCCACCTCTGATTCCAGACTAGTATACGCGCTCATCGACTGGCCGCCCTTTCTCTCGTCCAACGAGTAAATCGATCTCGAATCAACCACTAATTCCTGGAACGTTCTCGATGACAGGGTCGCCGAAGGTTTCATCAATTCTTGAACTAAATTGCTCTTGAACGCGGTCGAAATTACGATGCAATACAGCAAATAAGTCGCGTATATCAACTTGAGGTCGATTTTGTTGCCAAGGATTACCGTCGTCTGCGCATTTATGACGCATTGCTCGATATTTGCTCGCATTAAGAATTCCGCGACACGACTCGCACTCACGGCGGGAGGAATGATGTAGTCGGTTAGGTGATGATGATATCCGACTATGCACAGGGTCAAGAAGACGAGGAGGAGGACACTCGCGGCAAACACTTTCCAACCCATGGGGGACACTAGTCCGACAAATAATGTATAAATGTCGTACCGTCGGACCGCGGCGAATTGAACTTTGACCTGTTCTCCGGAGTGGATTAGGTCCACATTTGTCGTCCCC